TAGTTTTGCAGGCTAAGGCTGTTCTTTGCTATAGGCAACTGTTGTGGTTCTTTTCTTATGTAGGCTACTATCCTGCTTAATGTTTATTATCCTAGTGTTTAACGCAGTATTGTTGTGTACACTAGTACTAGGGGTATAGACAATTGTTAGGTCTATGTAACATGTTAAGGGGACTCTTCTAAGTCTACTAAGGGTATTCTTTTATTTGTACTAGCTGTACAGAGTGCTCTTTCTATTAGCACTTGCTTGTGCTATAGGTGCTGCTTCTATAGAGAACACATTATCTATAATTTTGTTGTACTATAAGAGCTTTTCTAAAGATTGCTAGGCTTAGGAGTAGTGTCTTAGGTTTCTTAGGCGCTAGTTATAGTACTTTAAACTTAGCAGGTTTACTTAACTATTCTAGCTTTTAATCTTTAATTTTAGTAAAAAATTACTATTACTTTTTTTTATTTATAATATTGTATTTAACTTTAGCTATTTTTTATATAATGTTAAATGTTAAGTAGTTGTTGCTAATGTTTATTTAGTAAAGTAAGACTATATAGTTGCTTAGGTAGTTATGTAGTAACCTACACTTCTAGCACCTACATCTCTAAAACTATTAGGAAAGCTCTTTTACTAAAGTACTAAGGGTCTAATCTTAGAAGGGGAACTATTCTTCTCTTTTTTAGATATTTATAATATATCTCTAAATCTAAGTCTTTTCTTTATATTCTTTAAAGATTATAAGGTCCTGCAACACTATATTAAGGCTACTAAAATTTTAAATAACTACTTTCTAATACACTTTAGAGTAGTTGTTTAAAAAGTAGTTTTCTTTACATTACTAGTAAAGTTTATTATTTAGTCTTTTTTATATTTCCTTATCTATAAGGCTATATTTAGTAGTAATAGCTTTTATTATTATAGTAGTATTTTTATTCTCTTTCTTTTAAAAGTCTAGGTAATTTTAGTAAAAATGTCCTACTTTTCTATAGTTTAGGCAGGCCTTGTCCTTTAGCTATTTTTATTATTCCTTTATTAAAGGCAGCCTATTGCGTTCTAGAACTTAGCTCTTTTTAGAAAGGGGGCTCTATATATGCTTTACATAACTAAGGTCTATTAGCTCTTTATTATATTATAAAAGCTTTTTCTTTTTAAAGACAAATTTTAGCTTCTAAAAGGTTCCCTTTAATTTCTTTTTTCTTTTACATTCTTTATAATAGTTATTATAAGTTATTACTTTTTTAATATATTTTTTAAAGGTAGTTAGTTAGTTTATGTGCATAAACTTATCTTTTACTTTATTATTTAGTTTATTATAAAACATGCGGCATAGGGCTTTCTAGTTGTTCTATCTGCAGATGGCTATTTGTTCCCTAAAACGCGCTGCATAGTTCTAGACTAGTCTGCTGCCCTGCTTTATATTGTCTAGTTAGTTAGCTGCAATTCTTTTTTTGTCTAAGGTTCTGTAAATAGCTAATAAAGCTGCCTTAAAATTTTTAACACTACTAAATACTTCTTTTATTTTAGAATTAAGTAAAGCGCTATTAGCTCTAAAGTCTATCTAGTTATTAGTATAGAGTTAGAACTAGATTATAAAAGAGCCTTTTAAGTATAATCCTATTTAAAAGATTATTTCTATGTTAGTCTAAAATGCTCCCTTATTATACTATATGTAGAGGTGGCATTAGGTAAAAAATAGTTAAAGGTCTTTTAATAATCTTTTAAAAGGCTTTAAAAGGGCTAGTCTTAAAGCCTTTTTAGCTATAACACTTACTTTATTTATTAAGATGTTTTAAACTTTTACTAGTTCTACTTGTAATTTATGTATCTAATAGGCTTAGGTAGTAGCTTTATAGGGGTTAATAAAAGGTAAAAAGTTCTGTAAATTTATAGTTTTTTTTTTATAGAAGTTAGCTATTTTCTGCTTAAGTTTTAATAATTTACTAACCTTATTACTAATCTGCTAGAGTTCTTTAATGTTGTTCTAGATAAAGTTAATCTGTTTTACTAGGACAGCTTTACTTTAGGTAAGAACTTCTATAGATCTAGATAGCGCAGTGTAGGCTATGTTAGAATCTAAATTATGTTAAGAGGTTGCTATACTTTTTAAAAAGAGTAGTGTTTAATGTTATAATTCTTGCTTTAAGAAGCACTTAGGTCTTATAATGTTCCTAGAGGGAAAGTAGGACAGGTAGTAAGGGCTAATCTAGTAGGGTGTACAGTCCTACGTACAGGCTATTAGGCTAATAAAGGGAGGGAGAGTAACTAGATTGTAGTTTGCCCTATGTGCAGCAGTAGGAAGGCTAGGGTTAAACAGTCCTGTTAGACAGGGTTAGAGGTATATATAGTATAAGATATATAAATAGTATTACAGCTCTTTAAAAAGCTAAATACTACTTAGTCTATGTAAAGAATAAACTAAATGTTAAACACACCTTCTAAAGGTTGTTTAATATAGGAACTATATACATGTGTAGGGGGCGCTAAGGGGAGTTAGTAAAGTTTACAGGAGTCTGCTAAGGAGAGCTCCTTAAGCTCCCTTAAACTCCTAATAACACGCGGCCTGCCTTCCTATTAGACAGAGCACTCTTCCATGATCTCAGGAAGCCGTGCTGCCTCCGTGTCCTCCGACTGGTCCGTAAGCGAGCCCTGCTCCAATCCAGCTAGATTGTGGAGCACTGCTGGTGGGGTTACGCTGGTCCAACCGTAGACCGTAACAAGAATAAACTAAACATTAAACACACTTTCTAAAAGTTATTTAATATAGAAACTATATACATGTACTAGGGGCGCTAAGGGGAGTAGAAGGAGTTTATAGGAGTTTGCTAAGAGGAGCTCCCTAAGCTCCCTTAAGCTCCCTAGATTTATGGCCTGCCTTCTTATTAGACAACGCATTCTTCTATTACCGCAGGTAGCTGCGCTGCCTCCGCGTCCTCCGGCTGGTTCATAAGCGAGCCCTGCTCCAATCCAGCTAGATTGTGGAGCACTGCCGGTGGAGTTACGCTGGTCCAACCGTAGACCGTAACAATTATGTAGTAGCTTTATTTACTACTTAAAGCTTTATAATCTTTTTTTACACTAATACTAGCTTATGTATAATAATTACTACTCTTTTTAAAACTTTTTTAAAGGCTTTTACTATAAACATTAGTAAGCTATTTATATACTTCTAAATTTTTACTTTTATAAGTATTAATTATAACTTAAATTTAAAAGTATTACTTAAGGTTTACAACTACTAGAGCTTATTATTAATAAGTAGTAGTAGTAGTAATAAAGTATATAACTAGATATTAAAAGCTATTTTAACTTATTTTAAGTTAAATAAAACTAAACTAGCGCTTTAAAACTCTTTTTAAATATTACTAAAAGTAATTACTATATTATAAGTGTATATAAAGCATAGTAAAAACTTAAGTTTTATAATATAAGTAATTTAGTTATATATAAAATCTTTAGCTTAGCACTTATATACTTTTTTTAAAGAGGCAAAACAACCTATATTAAAAGGCTATAAAAGGTGTAATAAGTGTAAAAGTATATAAATAGTAATAATTTTTTTTATAGTACTACTAAAAATTAAGTAAGTTATAGCTTTTATAGCTATTAATAATAAAAAGCTAATAAGTGCTTATAACTTTTTTTTATATACTTATTAAAGTGCTTTAACTACTATAGCTTAAGCTTATTTATTATCTAGCTATTTTTAGAAACTATAATAACCTAGTTTTAAAGTAGATTTTTTTTATACTAAGTAAAAAAGTAATAGCAGCCTTTAAAAATAATAAAAAGTAAAATAGCTTACTTTATTATATTAATACTTTAAATAACTATTATCTACTTTCTATTACCTTACTATATTACTTTTAGCTATTTTTATTTCTTTAAAGCTATAATAACTGCTTTAGTTAATATCTAGCTTATTATAAAGCTTAACTTATTAAAGTTATACATGTCTTTATTCTAGATACTATACTTAGCTTTTATATTAGCTACTAAGTAAAACTAGCCTTAAATAACCTTTAGATTTTTAT